TATTATAATATATTTAAAATGACTATATTTAGCTCTAAGTACTATTTTCTACTAATCTCCCTCTTTAATCCGAATATAATAATATATTTCCTGTAAATTTACTTTAGAGAAGACTTTAGCGCCTAATAGCCGATCTGTTAATTCTCTAATTAGAAATAGCGGGTATTAATTCTTAATCGTTATTTTATTTAAATTAAAATAATTTATATATAAGCGTAAGAAATTATCCTTCTTCGGAATAAATAAAACTAATACCCCCGCTAGGGTTTTTAAGTGTTTAATCCTCTTTATACGTAGGTTCTCTTTTAAGTAATCCTATAGAGTGTTTAATTATACCTTTAAGAAGGAGTATATTATTTTAGATGGTACCTTTTTGTCTTCTTTAATTCTAATTTCATATTCGGTATTAAAGAAGGTCGGTAGCGATTTTATTCTTTCTTCCGAAAAATATAATTCGAATTCTTCTAAGGCGGGTAGGATAATTACCGCCCTATTAGCGTTATTTTCCTTATTATTTATATTTTTAATAATAGGACTTATAGGATTATATATAAATATAATATTAGTAATAAAAGTTCGTTGGCTATATATTATATTACGCGTAAAGATTATTAGGTTTATTCTTTATAGTCTATTAAATTCGAATTTATTAATATGTATATATATAATAATACTTTCCGAGCCTATACATAGTATTAACAATAATACCGGTAGTATTTTGATATTTTTATAGATTGTATAGAAGAGTTAGGTTGTTGCCCATTCCTAGTTTATTCTATCCTTTTTTTAGAAAATAATTTCGAATGCTCTATAATAACGTATTTTTCCGCCGTTCGTATTTATTAATATTAATAATATTATTATTTCTACTTATTTTAATTTATACCTTCTTATACAATTCTTATAGATTATATTAATTTTAGCTTCCGTATTAAGGTTTATACCGACCCTTAATCGGTAACCCTTTAACGAAATTACTATTACTATTATTCTAACCGGGCTATTTCTTCCGGCCGTCCTAAACCCTTCAATTATTGTAAATCATAATTTATTTATAGGGTTTAACCTTTTAACAGCCCTTTAAAATCGGAGAAGTAACCAGTTTTTTTTTCTTTTTAAATTTAAATTTAGTAGTAATATTTTAAACGCAAACTCCATCGTAGGACTTATTATAGGATTCATGATATTCTTCAATTTTAAATTTCTTAGGGTAATTTTTAATAAGATATTCCTTTTCCTTATAAATATAAGATTCCAGCCCTAGACCTCTAGAATTTATCTTTATCTAATTAAAAAATTGTTCCTACTTCTAATTATTACGAGATTTATTTGAATAGTCCTTAAAGCGTTCCGATTATTTAGCGTTCAAATTATTCAACGACTTTTAAAATTATTAAAACTTTTTACATTTAAATAAATCTCTTTTACGTACATTTTTTTTATAATCTTCTAATTACTAATTTAATACGTTCTAAGCTACATCTTAAGTATTTTTAATCAGGATTTCTATATTCTAGAAATATTAATATATTTCCTTTCTTAATTAGAAGAAGAAATTATAAACTTAACTTTTATTACCGGAAACTAATCGGTTTAAGCGTTAGTAATTAATTTAATATTATTCCTATAAAACTTATAAATCCTTATTATTATATTGCATTATTTAATAATAGACCTGTTTAATTTCTAATTTGTAGTATTCTAATATAATATATTCCTTACAAACGAATTATAGGAACTCTTCCTAAATCCCGTCTTATTTTTAACTATTTTTGTCAGTAAACTTTATAGGGAACGTTTACTACGAAATAGCGATTTTATTATCGGCTTTTAAAAGCGCTTATAAAACGAATTAGAGGTCTATAGTATTCTTATAAGTTTAATTACTTACTTCTAAACGTTCGATCCAATTTTCAATTTCAAGATTAATATTATTCAGTTATAAAATATATATATTATAAGTAGGTATTCGGAAATTAAGCGGTTCTTTATCCTCCTTTTTTGCTATTAAATTTATTATTATTTTATATAATTTAAAGAACATTTCTAAGGATTAGGAGATTAACTCTTTAATTAGGGGGTTAATTCTTTTCAAATAGGAATAGTATTTGGGAAGAATATTCCGACTGATCCCTATTAATTTTTGAAAATTAAAGCGAATTATTAATTAAATATTATAAATTCCTTAAAGAAAATTATAATTGGGTAATTTAGGATAATTCTACAGAGAGGAACTTAAATCGGCGGTCCGTCGGTCCGGATTTTCTTATAAATAAACGGAAACCTTTATAGTGTCGTATTAAGTTAACTGAATAGTAACAAGCGATATATGTATTTTTACGCTCCGGGGAATATTCCCTATATTAATATAGGCTATAAAAGTAGTAAGTGTAGAACGTATATAAATTTTTAGAAAAATAACGCCCTAATTTTCGGTTCTATAACGTTTTCTATAAAAAAGCCCCTTCGAATTTAAACGAAAATCAATTTTAATTATAATCGTTAATAACCAATATATTAGTAATAATATTAGTAAAGAATTTCCCAATTTACGTAGTCGAAGGAATATTTCCGTCGGTCGAATATATATTAGTATTTTTACAATTTTAAATTTCGCTATTATTAGCGTTATTCCAAACCTCTTCGGCGATAAATGTATTTTCGCCCGATCGTTCCGGAGTATTGTATTTAATTATAAGTACTTCCGGCGTTACCTCCTACTCCGAAGAATAATTTCGGTAATATACGGCCGTACTTTTTATATAAGTATTTTCCTTTCTGGTATTAATTATATTCCCGGCCTTTGTAACGATATTTTAGAGATTTGAGAATTATAAAATTATAATATAATAAAGTAAGAATATATTTAATATACGATAGTAAATCTATTCTAAAAAGTAGATTTTAACTTAGCCGGTAAAGAATATCCGGCTAGGCTATAAAAGTTTTTATTTTATATACGAACCTTTAGTAGGCCCGGGACCCGGCGCCCGGCCTCCGATTATACGCCTCTATCATTATTGTACCTACTCTATTACTTATTATAACAGCCCCTTCGCCCCGCCTTATAGTTCTTATCAATCTATTATAACGTTCCGCTCTTTGGGCCTAGTTCCTAAGCCCTCCGACACGATAACCTTATGAGAAGATTTGCTAAAGGTTTAAAGGGGGAAGGAAGGTTCTTATATCCCTTTGGCGGATTGTCTACTCTGAGTTATGGAAGTTCGGAGAATAGTATTATAATTTTATCGCTAAATGGGCGTTCTGGTGTTGAATGAGGTGATTTGATTTGATCACGACAAAAGATCGGTATAGCGAAGCGGTCTGACTTGATCGCGACGGGAGTAGTATAGCGAAGCGGTTTGACTTGATTGCAACGGAAGAAAGCGAAGTAATTTAATTTGATTACGACGAAAGATGTAGCGAAGTAATTTAATTTATCCGGATTACAACAAGGTTGGTATAGTAGTTGCAACGAGGGCAAATAACGAGACGAAACTATTTCGTTGTCTCTTATCGCTCAAAGCGAATCGGGAATTGCTGTAAACGTTGCGGAGAGCGTAAACGAAGGTATTCGGATGAATGCGCTTTGCGCGAGAGGGTTCATAACCTCTTAGACCGTCACGAAGTAGGGATAAAGAAGGCGAGAGAGAAGTTGATGTATTCAGAAGGAAGACAAGGCTACGAACGAACGCGGGGAAAAGCTAGCTAAGGAAGGTGGTGCTAGGAAGTGGGCCCAGCCCGGCAGGCAGGCGGCACGGCTGGCACGGCTGGCCGGCTGGGCACAAGAACATGTTCTGGGATCGTGCTTCGGAATCTGTCACCTTTCCAGATAGCCAACTGTATAATACATGTAGTTATATACTTCTCATTCCAAGGCATACTTCCTCAATAGGTATGATTTTCATTACTTCTGTAAAACACTTCTCTTTTCACTATCTCTCGACACCATCCATTCTTTCCTTGATGACATGATCCTTCCCCTTCATATCACACACATCAACCAAACCCTAATCCTCCAATTGCACCCCCCCCGGATGCCCAACCCGACCCGGCCCTCCTCCAGCGCCCTACGAAGAAGGGTAGAAAGCGCAAAGTGCGTACCGTTTCTGCTCATTTTCAGCAGCCTGCTCCTCTTTAGCAGATGGCTCCTCTTCAGCAGCCGGCTCCTCTTGATCAGCAGATGGCCCCTCATCAACAGATGGCTTCTCTTGATAGCTTAGCTTCTATGGGTCTCAGGACTTGCACTAATTGCATGAAGCGCCCACAGCGCGCAGCCGGCAAGGTGTGGGAGGAATGCTTCGGTAGTCCCACCGCCCAATGGCGGAGCGAACTGAAGAAGGGAAGGGAGTAGGAAGAGAGAAATCTCATCCCGGCACTGGAAGTCTTAGATGATACGGGCCTTCCCACGGAAGAGGTGTATACCGTAGCGGGAAAATATGCTAGGGAACAAGCCTTCTTAGGCTTACTACGGCTTTCAAGACTTGTAATTTCAACAAGCCCTGTTGAATTTATAGGCCTTGTTGCGCGAGGGAGGCGTCTGATTGGTTAATCCGGATATCTGCTATAGACGTTCGCTAAAAGTCCCAAGTTCAGCGCACTGCTTTAGTGCCCTCGAGAGTGCCTTCTTTCCTAAAGTTCATTTTCCCTTGAAACTCCACCACCCTATATCAAAGGAAAGAACGAAGCTCGCCTTCAATCAATTGGGCCAGTAGCTTAATAGTTCTTATCGTCGCTCTCATTCTTGTGATTGCCAGTTCGATTCCAACTAGTGACAGCTTTTTTTCCGTCGCGCGAAAAGTTTCGCGCGGACCGGGAAGTATGAATACCCTCATCCGGACTTTAAAGCCAAAATCTAAGACCACCAAAAAGACCACTATAACGACCACTAGCCAAAGACCCCTATAAGGCCTTCTGCCTAAATCCAACCAATCAGAGCCCTCCCTCAGCTAACAAGGCCTGTAGATTCAACAGGGCTTGTTGTATATAATAACCCCAGATATGCAACAAGGCCTGTAATGCTCAACAAGGCCTGTTGCGCCCCTTATATTCCCGCTGCGGTATCGACGTACACCGTCATCGTCGAAGCCATTGTCGGTACCCCCGTCGTATTCCTTCACGACGACCATAGGTACCCAACCGGCTTGTGGGCCGTAGAACGTGCCCCAATTGCATGCACCGCCCTCAGAGGGCCCTCGGCCAGCACTGTCAACGGTGCTTCAACGCTGCCCATGGCATTCCGAACCCTCCCGAGGAGAATGGAGCGATCCATGAGGGCATGGCGGAGTAAGTTTGAACGGATGGGAAGGTGTCAAGCGGAAAGCAATTCGGAAGGGTCCATACAGCCATCCGTTCGTGAAATCACGTTGGAAGCAGGAGCGACCCTGTCATGACGCTTGATACAGGATTGCGCAAGAAGGATGTCAGTGGGTCCCGATTTGGTTTGTAATAATCTATTCATTTTTGTTCTAAATCTATACAAATTTTAGGATCCCCATCACAAAATTCTTTAATACCTAAAGAAAAATTATTTTTTATCAATTTTTTCTGTATTTAACAAGCCTAAGCCTACACGTGTATATATTTTATAGCTTATACAAATTAAGATAGTGCTACTTTGTAATATACTTTTCATTATTTTATATTTTCATTTAAAGATTCAAAATTTATTATATTAGAAAGGGCGAAAATTCCTACCGCAAGAGTAGTCTTAGAATTTTCGTTATTTCCCAATCTTCATATTAAATATAAATCCTTTATAGTCATAATATATAACTCTCCTTAAAATATAAAAATACTTTTAATCAATAATTTTTTCAAGAAAAGTTTTAATCTTATGATTTTCGGAATTTAAGACTGTGAAAAGAGTGCTTGCTAGCGCACTTTGAAAGTGTGAAATCTATTTAAAATCGGCCGTTTTAAAGATATTAGTTTCGGTCTTATAGTTCTAACCTCTATAGAATTTTATGTAATTTTTAATTGTCGAAAAATAGTTAATTAAAGAATTAAATAGAAAATATTTAAGTAGAGAGAATATTTCGGTAGTTCTTAGGTTGTAAAAGGCGGGGCCTATATATTAAAATCTATTAAATTTTAATAAGTAGTTTAGTACTACCATTGGCGCGATACGTTTAAATTTGGCCGAGTTATACTTTATATTATATTTTCATCCCCGTGCGAATAGAGCTTTATCCCTGTGCGAATAGAGTTTCTCATAATATTATATTTACCTTATTTAATAACGGCTTCTCCAAAAAAGTAAAAGATATTCCCTACTTGCTTCCGCCTCGCTTACTAACGTACTATACTTCGGGCTTTCTAACGCCTTCGCTTCTTCTAACTCTTTGAAATCCTTTAAATATTTAGAGTTTTATTATTATATTACCTCTACTATACTTATATTCTAATATTTTAAATTACTTAGCATATTTAAATTATGACTTCCTATGGCCTAATATATTTAAAAACAAATTTAATATTAGCGGTTACTCTAAGTTACTTAAATTTATTAATATAAATAATTAAATTAAATAGGATCGGGCTATTTAATAATACGTATTTATTTTGGGTATAGGAGCCGCCCTAATTAATAATAAACCGCCGGCTTAAAGAGAATTATAAATCATACATAATTATAACATTATATATATTAATTAGCCTATATTTTAGAAATAATTCCTTAATGTAATATTAAATTATATTAATAGATAAGTCATTAATTTACTTAAAACCCCCGCGCCCTTATTAAATTTAATTACTATAATACGTAAGGCCTTTAAACACTTCGCTAATATAGTCTGAACTAGCGGCCAAATAGGACTATCTTATTAAAAATTAGTTTAAAAGTAGGAAAGTTTATTACTTATTAATTTTAATAAAATTTCTAAATATATTTAAGAATATATCGAAACTTACAAAACTATACTTTATTGAGACAAATCCTTAAGAATCCTAAAATTACTCCTAATTTATTATTTTATATAAGGTTTAAAGAATTAGTACTACTAATTTCGGGAAAACTTTTTTTAAAATAATTATATTTTACCCGTCCGGAAGATTAATAAAATTATTAAGGAGGGAATTACCCTAATAGAAGTTATTTTGAATGTTAAAATATTTAAAATAGAATATAATAATTAAAAAAATTAAAGGAAAAAGAATAAAAAGTATTCTACGCTACTAAGGTAGCCGCTATAAAGGGTAAGCGAAAGATTATTTAAGCTCCTTGTAGCGTATGTAATAATCTTAAATATAGCGACGAACGCTATTTTAAATAATACTCTAAATTGCGTTTATAATTTAGAGAAGAAAAACTCTATCCGCAAGTGGATCCACTTTTTTCCCCACACATATCCCTAACCTTCGTGAGGCCTAATATATTAAATGTATTCTTTTATAAATTTTGCCTAGAATCTAAGCATTACAATATTTTATAATATAACTTCAGACTATAGTACCCCGCCCAAATTTGTACCGCGATATATACTTATATTAAGTATTTTATAAGGTAGTCTTAGAGTATATTATAGGGTATTTAGTAGCCCGGTCGTATATTGTACTCAAATTAATTAATTGTACTTAATCTATAATAATTTATATATTACTAATCTATTTGATTTTTATTGTGAATTTGGTTGCTAGAGCTTCTTAGAGCCTCCTAGAGCCTCCTAAAGTATTTATTAGGCTTACGTACTAGCGATACGTATGCTACGCCGGCTACCCTATATATTAATTAGAATATTACTTGGTATACTTCTTCTTTTTATACCTCCTCCCTTTATATTTCCTCCTTTCGTACTTCCTCTTCTTATAATATCAATAATATAGCCTCTTCTACCCTATATAGAGCTACTTCCTCTCTCTCTTCTACTCCTTCTTCGTACAATTTATATAGAGCTTCGCGGGCGGCCTCGTCCCTTCTATAATAAAGTAGGAGGCTAATTATCTATTATATCCTTTATTTCTAAATTAATACCCTCTTATTTAAATATATTTCATTAAATTAGTAGCGTTATTCGTATTAAAATTATAGGGTTGCGGCCTACTTTAAATTATTAGCCGCGGGTAGGTTAGAGGCGTGGCCGTCCCCGTCCCTAGGGATTTTATAATACCGTTACTTAGAATTAAATCAGCACTATAGAGGGTAAAGGAATTCGAATATTAATTAATACGGTCGGTTGGGGTAAGGGAGTTTGAATATTAATTAATATAATTAATTAAGGAGCGTAAGAGTCGTATATAAAAGGTCTTACATTTCGAGGGCGGTTACGTAAATTCTTTATACGGTTAAAATTATAATAAATAAAATATTTATTCTTATTAGATAAATTCCTTTTAAGCTATTAGTGGGGGTGAAAGTTTTATTTTATTAGTTTTAATTATTGAGGCCGGGTAAGAAGGTTAGAGAGTAAGGAATGCGAGTATAGTAAGTTAAATTGCTTAATAAATTTGCCTATATATAATTCTAATTTATTAGGGATTAGTTTCTAGGCCGTAGGGATAATACCTAGAGCAATATTGTATTATTTAATAATTAATTTAAGCGCCCTTTAATATATTTGATTAAGAGCCTCCCCTAATTATTATATATTGGAATGTTCCTATTAGGTAAATCTTATTTCTTTATCTACGTATTTATTGATTCGGCGCTTTATTATACGAAGGAGGCTGAAATTCTATATAACAGCTCTAATAAGTAGATTATTACCTATATATAGAAGGACAATTAATAAATTATAAAATATATAGTAAATAATATAGTTCAAAATAATAGGTAAAGTATAAGAAGGAGATAGCATACAAGATCTAGGGGTTAGGGAATATTACTGCTAATAATGAAACTATTTAAATTATAATTAGTTAATTTAATTAGCGATATAGTACGATAGCTAAAATTGAGCTTCTCGTTAATATAATAAGCAGCCTACTCGTTTTTAATAAAAATGTACGTTTTATTTAAATAGGTAATAATTGCTATTTATTACAAAAAGAAGCTCTTAAACCTCTCCTAAGCAGTATTAAAATCCTTAATACTATACGTATAGTACGTATACTTCTAAAGATCGTAAAGTCTAGTCCTTAAATACTCTATAGTATTAAGGAATAGAAGTAATTAATTTATATTATTTACTAATCGATTTATACGAATAATTACGTATTAATCCTCTTTATTAACCTATTTTAAATTCGTTGTATTATTAAATTAAGTTAATTAAGCTAGCTAGGCGGCTAATTAAATTGCTTGCTATATTAATGCCGATATTTCTCATTAGAACTATACCTTCTTTATAGTAATATAAATACAGTTAACGTAAGCGGCGACCTTCTTATCCTATTTGCGCTTAATATTCAATACTATATTTTTATGAATATAAAAAATATATAATTAAGAGCGCGCTATTAGATAGATTCGTTTAATAGCCGCCCTCATTACTATATTATAATTTATAATAATTATTATCGGTTTAGAGGCGTTAATAGTTTTATAATAATTATTAATTCAATCTATTAATTAAATGAATGCCTCCTATCTCTCGTTATTAATAAAGCTAAAACTATAGTTAAAAATATACCTAGTGCCAATTATATTAATAATTTGAAAGAAAGCGAGGCCCTTATTATTTGTTTTGTACGTATTATCGTATATTTAAACCTAGAGATTATAGCGCTAGAACTCCTTATATTAGGGGTTATTCTAGAAGAGGGCAAGCGGTTTACTCTTTTAAAAGGTCTTTACCTAATTAATTTCAAAGTAGACCCCCTTTTTATTAAATAGCTTTATAATAAATTATAAGGGGTTATACCCTATATTAATTTACTTTTTAAAGATATATTAAAAATTTTGTAATTATTTAATCGTAAAATAAAAGTTAGGAAAATTATTACGTAATTGCTGCCTAATTTTACGATTGCGCGTAATAGGGCAGTTAAAGTACTACATAATAAAAGTCTTATATTCTATTTGGAAGACCCTATAAATCTATACTATTTTATTAGGAGGATGAGTATAAATATTACAACTATCTTTAATTTTAAAAGTTTACCGTCTAAAGTTCGTCTTTAACGCTTTAGCGACCCCTTTCTAAGGGCATCCCCGTTTAATTATCGATATTAAACGATTGCGAATAGAGGAGGGACGGATTTTATTAATTAAATATATAAAATCGATTTTCGATAGACTAAAATCGTTAATAATATTAATTAACTATATTTTAATTAATTAATAACCTATCCCCCTACCCTATTGTTTAATTATTTTGACGAAGTTATCGAGCTTATTATATTAGGTCTTGAAAATAACGAAACGGTTATTATAAATACCGTTACTATTAGGGTTACCGCCGTTATCACTATTAGAGTCATTACCGTTAAAATCGCTATCGTAAGAGTTATCGATATTTATAAGCTAAGTAAAGGTAGGCTCCATTAGAGTAGGCTCGATTAGGGTAG